TGAGGTGGAGGGACCCACGGGGATGGGGGATAGGGAAGGGCTGCTGGGGAGCAGAGGGGAGGGTGGTCCTGCTGCTGGCACCCCGGGCTTGTGCTGGGTGCTGCTGTCCCCCCAGGGGCCCCTGTCCCTTACCTGCAGGTTGATGCGCTCCAGCAGCTCATGGAGGGTCTTGGGCTTGAGCCGCTTGCTCTTGCTGGGGCCCCGGCTCTTGCGGGCAGGGGCCGTCTCCTCGGGGATGACGTCCACGTAGATGAACTTGAAGGAGCCCACCCTGTTGTTGAGGAGCCCGGTCCAGGTGCCCATGGGCGGCTTCTCAATGATGCCGATGATGTCCCCTTTCTGGGCCAAGGGAGATGGGGGTGGAGGCGGGTGCAGGCTGCCTTCGGGGGGGGTCCCCAGCCACCGTCCCTCCCCGGGGCCCACACCATAGTCCTGCCCTTCACCCCAGCTCTCCCCAGCCCCGGGCTGGCCATGGTGTGGCTCACCCGCAGCTTCAGTGAGTCCTTGTCGTAAGGGCTGGGTGTGAAGTCAGTGTGGACGCGGGCCCGGCCGCAGAAGGGGCCACTGTAGACTGGACCGCTCTCCTCCAGCCGCAGGCTGTCCCGGTTGCTGCCCCCGGGGCTGGAAATGTCGCTGCCTGTGGAAGGGAGGGAGATCAGGATGCGGCCAGCTGCGGGGCGAGGGGCTGGTGTCCTGCCGGGACCAGGCTCACCGCTGGACAGCTGGCGGCTGACAGATGGGTGGCCATCTTCCTCCATCTCCAGGTAAGACAGGGGCACCTTTTCGTGGCTCGGCTCCTCGGTGCTGCCAGCTGGAGACAGGGGGCACAGGGACCCCTCCTCCTCCACGTCTCCCTGCTGAGGGGACCAGGATCAGGCCAAGGGAGGGGGAGCTGCCTCCCGCCTGCCCAGGCCCCCCACTCACCTTCCCCTCGGCTAGTGCTTTCACGGCCATCCTGCCCATCTTGCGGTTCATGGTGCGGGAGATGACGGCCCGCCACTTCTTGCTCAGCTTCATCCCGCTGCTCCGTGCAGCATCATCGGGGATGGAGCTGCTGGACTCATCCTCGGGGATCTGGCAGAGGGATGAAGAGTGAAGGCAGAGCCCCCGTGCCCCTGGGCAAACCTCAGCTGGGTCACACATGGCTGCAAGAATCCTTGGGGAGGGAGACCCCAAATCCTGCCAGTGCTGGAACCCCTGGGGCTGCCCCATGGCATGTGGGCCACAGTAGAACCAGAAGTTTGGGGAAACAGGCTCTGAAAAGGGCTGTGCCTGTCAGGAAGATGGTCCCGGGGGAACAGGACGCGGCAGGGGTGCTGCCACTCCATGGGGGCCGGGCACTCACGTTCTCCTCCAGGTTGAACTCCTTCTCACTTGGCACAGGGGAGCTGACTTTGGACTTGGCGAAGTCCTTGAAGCTGCTGGAGCGCTGGAGGGAGAGCTGGGGGAGACAGAAAGGTGTGGGGGTTCTCCCTGTGCCCCCAGTCCCAGCTCCCACCCTCCCCTCCGGCAGCCAGGCTGCTGGGCAAGCCAGAGCAGCCCCGGGGCGATGCCGATGCTTGACAAGTTTTTTTGGTTGTCACAGCCTCACCCTTCCTGCCCCAACCCCACAGGAGCCACTGTGTGTTGTGAGCCCCCCCCCCAGGACCTGGGGTGCAGAGACCCAGCATCACTCTGGGTGCTCAGACGTCGCCTTGGCACAGCGTCCCCGGGGCAGGGGCCACCCAGCACTGTGACACTTGCTGCTGCGGACCAAGCAGTGCCGAGAGCCCTGGCTCCAGCACCTGCTGCGGGTGCTCTGGCACTGAGCCTGGCACCGCCGAGCTGGGAGCAGCCCAGGACCATGCCGTGCTGCTGTTGTGGCACATGGGCTGGGCGCTTGCTGGGAAAACACAGGGGCTCTGCGACACAGCCGCTCTGCTCAGTACCCAAACGTGAGCATCCTGCACCGGCCCAGCCCCTGAGCCAGGGATTTTGGCAACGAGAGCAGAGTGAGACCTGCCTCATGCTCAGTCCTGCTCCTGCGGTGGCTGTGCCGTGGGTGGCTCCCTCCCTTCCCTGCGAGTATCTGACATCTAAAGGCTGTTTTCAGCAGCTGAGAGCATGTGTGCTGCCATGCCCAGGCTGCTACCCTCACGTTCAGCTCCAGGCCTGTTTTCTGCCTGCGAGCATCGTTTCACAGCCCGGAAAGCCCCTCCCCTGCCAGCATCGCCAGCAAGCTCAGTCCTGCCTTTGTGCTAAAGCCACCAAAGCAGGTTTTGTATCTCAGTCCTGGTGCAACCCTTCATCACTGCCTCTTCCAGTCTTCCCTGAGCCCCCCTGCCTGGCTCTCCTTCCCTCCCCTCCATCTCCTCAGGTGCCTGTCCCACATGGGAAGGAGTTCCAATGTCCAGGAGCACCCTCGGTCCTGGCCAGCCAGGATCCCTGCACGGCCATGCAGTCCCAGGTCTCCATCATCCCCGTATGCCCCGCACCAGCGCTATCGTGGGAGCCGGCTTGTGTGCTGGGGCTGGGCAAGCTCAGCTCCTGGCTGCCAGCACCCTCGTAGCACACACCATGGCGCTCGGTCTTGCCTCGACCGCAAATGCAGCAATTTCCTTTTTTGAGTTGTCCTGCCTGCCCCGGGCTCCTGCTTGCACCAGAGGTGGCCGAGGCCCTATCCAGCCCCTGCGCAGCCTGGTCCTGCTCAGGCATGGCCCCGCGCCTTTCCCTCCTCCTCCTCCTCCTCTTTATCGACTTGACTGAGCATCCTTTTTCACTTTTTTTTGCCATTTTCTTACAGAGGGCCAGTTTGGATGAGGGAGACCCGGCTCCATCCCCAGTGTGGCTTTACTTAGCAGGACCAGCTCAGTTGGTGCATCTGTGCAGAGGAGATGCTGGTGATTTGCTCTGCTCCAGCCCCAGCACCCTTGAACCCGCCAGGCCTGGCTGGCTTGAACCCCTCGGATCTCCCCCTGCACCCTTCAGACGAAACAACTTTACGCCCTGTGCCCCCCCTGCAGCTGGGAAAGCTGCAGCTTTGGCCGTTGCCCCAGGGCCGGGGGTGCAAGAGCAGCTGCGCAAAGCCTGTCAGTGGGTGCCCATGGAATGGGGCAGCTGGGCCCGCCCTGGGGAGGACAGCACGGAGAGGGAAGTGAGAGCAGTGGCTGCGGCTGAGCAAGGGCAGGGGATGCCCGCCGGGGCATGCCAGGCTCGCTGGGCCACCCCCAGCACCGGGAGGGGGGCTTCACCCAGATTTCCCCCTGGGGAGATTCCCAGCATGGAGGAGCAGCCATAGCATGAGGCTCTGCCGGGATATCTGCCCGCCGTGGGCAGGACCACGGCACCAGGTGCCGTCCCCCTGCTCCGAGGCCGAAGCCAGCCCACCAGGGCCTGGCAAGAGCTGAAGAACCTGCCGGTGCAAGACGCGGCGGGGGGACCGAGGGGCCGGTCGCGGCCCCCACCGCTGGCTCCAGCCCTCCAGGCAGGGCAGCACGTGGGCCCGCCGTGCCGGGGGGGCTCTTGAGAGCCCGTGGTGCTGGCAGCCGGTGC